ACGGTATATCTGGCGTAAAAGTGGGCTCAGATTGACTCCAAGGATCTCATCGGATCCATCCCTTTCGACATATATTGATAAATAAACCGACGGTAGGCGACTGCGATCAACTTTCTGGATGCTCGTAAGTTTCACAAGCAGACAGAACATGAGCAAATGATGGCAACATCACCGACATGCGGACACTTGGTAGAAATTTTCATTAATCAAAATAGGAAAACGGAAGAAAATATCGTTGATGACCTTTGAACTGTTCGACTAAAAATTATATCCCCACTTTTGACAAATAGAATCAGAGGAAAAAAATCCAATTAATGACGCGTTGATGCGAGTTTGAATGAAAATAATTTTTTATTCACGATTTTTGCCTCTCAATACCTCTCAAAACAAATGAGGTGTCATTTTGTTTACTCACAAACCACCAAGATGAAAATAAACAATACAAATATGAAAAGAAAATAGGGCAAAGAAAAATCTTGAGAAAAGCAAAATGTGGTGTTTTTGTGCTTAAAATATAAATATTGTTAAAGTATTGTTTCGTTTTCTGGTATAAAAACTTTCAATATTGAATAGTAATTTTGTAATGAACCAATGGAGTATGAATTGACGGGTTAGAAGTGGCCAGTGGACGGAAAGAGATGTTTGTTTTGTTTCAAGTTGAGAAGATACAATTGTGATCGTGGCTCGAGGGGAGTGATCATATTGTTGTTAAATATTGATGAATTTTAAATGTTTCCAGATGGGATTGGTTGAGAAAACTGTTGAAATTTTGAAAAAAAAAAACAAGACAAAAGCCAGTATTCCTCAAAATTTTTAGACAGTTTAAAATAATTTCTGGAGTAAAGTTGTTTCTCTAACCGTCTATAAAACGGCAAAACGGGAGAAAAATGCGACAGGATTACTGCCTTGTAATTTATAGTGCTTCGACAATTAATCCCAGATATCGTACCTCGTCCATTCTCACTTGAAGACCTTCTTAGGTACAGGTTGAGTATACAAATGGAATGTTTAAAATTGGTCTGTAACAAGTCGGCCCAATCACAAGCTATATATAATATAATTGATAATAAATAATATTAATAATGACTTCTGTTGAATAGAAACACTTCAATAATTCTAATTCATCAATAGATTTATTCCCTTCGTTTTATCCTTTGTATATGAAAGAGATGTAATTTGATAAAGCCGATATATTTAAGAAATATTGTATATACCTGGCCCTACCACCCTGTACAAAGACATTTTTTTTATATGGAAAGATCCTTTTAAAATAACACTGGATATCAGCCGTCGAATCTCCTTTTTAGTTCTTATTATAATGGGTAGGAGTCAAACATGCCTTTTCATGTTCATAAAATGTTAAAGGATGGATTAATTAAAACAAATCATTCGCTTGATCAAGTCAACTTCTCTGGCTGATGAATTCGTTTGATATTTTCTATTTCTATCAATTTTCACAAGTTTAAAAAAAAATGAGAAATCGAAATTTAATATAAATATGTTGTACAAAACGTGTTTTAGCATTGTTATCTCTTACAACTCTTATTTTTTCTCTTTTTTTCTAATTTTTCTAAAATATTGAAATCGAATCTGTTTTTATGTGATATATGGCCTCTTTCACTAAAACAAATGTTCGCTCTCAATAAAATATGTTGCACGGAAAACATTATAAAGTTATAGAGTACAAGATATAATAAAAAGTTTTCATTCGTTTTAAAAATCAACAGAATAATGAGACTGCAACTAAAAAATCTGTGAAGAGACAAGATGAGGTGTGCGACGTGAGATTATTGATAATCGTTCAAAGCTCTATGATATCTAATACATTACCAAAATAAATCATTCGAAATCAGAATATGTGGCTTCAAAAAGGAACATTTGCTTGAAAAATCTAAAAACAAACGCGAACTGTCTAAAAATTAAGTCTTTGAATGGTATTTAGCAATTGTGAGTACGATATATAGACACAGCTTTATGGAACAACAATCACTGGTTAAAGTTTTATGCAACGTTTCGACGTGTTTCCCCCGTCGTCCTCAGGCACATTGTCTAAAAATTGGTGCCGAGTTGACAATCCAATAAACCATATCTATGAAAGAGGGCTTCTCTATCAGAGAGTTAATTTAGCTTATTATGTCATTATATTTTCGAAAATTTTAACAGTGAAATGTTTGTGCTGGTCGAGCGTTATAATTCCAGAACGTAACATAAAAATGACACGTCATAAAAATTTTAAAATTTTTGCCTCACTTACAAATTAAAGAAAAACGAGGCTTAATTTTAGTTAGTAATCTATAACAGCATCAACTTGCCAAAATAAAGATTTTAAATTTACAATGGCAGAACCGACATCTTGAAATCTAGGATTAAATCTTCTCAAATTTATGATGAGCATAAATATTCATTCTTTCACAATTTTTGATTCAAAATGTTGTTCGTCTGCTTATTGGATTAACTTACTGATCCCTAAATCCCTAATTTGTCTGTAAACTCAACAGTTATGTATTTTATACAAAACGGCTGTTAGCCCGTCACTATGGTGAATAATCCAGTAGGTCGTCTGCCGGTGAAAGCATGACGATCGCCATTTTGAATTATGCGAGGCAACAGTAGAAATTAACAAGATGGCGGCGATGTATAAGAAAAGACAACCAGCCCTCTCTATTGTCTATTCAACTACCCAAGAACGTTATTAAGTACCCTATTGAAAGGTTCAGCCCCTTTTCAAGCAATCAATCTCCACTTAACAGATGACAA